GCCCTAAGGCCCCCGTTTTCATGGTCCCTGACTAACTGAGATTTGCGTAGGTAATGAGTTTTGTTCCTCCATATAAACTTAAATATTATGGAGTTGGATGACTTAATAGCTTTAGACGAAGTGTATAGTGAATGGCATGAGTAGATGAGCCTAGATAACCCTTCAGCTTTGGATAGAAGAATTCAACCTAATAAGGATAGGTCACGTGTAAGCCAATGATTTAAGGGTTTCTGAGCAGCTTGTAGTCTGGGGAAAATATTCAGAGCTTCTCTGTTATGCAAATTATTTGTTATTACTATGCCAAGGTATTTGACTTCGGCTTTGACCGGGATGTTGGCTATGCTGTTAAGCTCGTTATTATGGACAGCCAAAAGTTCACATTTTCAAGGTTTAGAGTCAGACCAGATGCTTTAGAGAAAATATTTATTTTATCGATAGCTTTATACCATATTCTTGTTTTTTAAAAACACTGCTGTATCATCAGCAAATTGACTGATTATCAGTTCCTTCCCCAATATTTCAATACCTTGGATGCCTGAGGAGTTTTTGAGGTATATTGCCATCAATTCTACAGCTAAGATAAATAAAAGAGGACTGATTGGGCAACCCTGCCGAATACCCCGATTAAGTGGAAAACTCATTGAGAAGCCATGACTTAGTGATATACTACTGTTTATGTCGTTATAGAGCATTTTAATAACTTCATAAAAAAACTGTGGCCAAAGCCAAACATTTCCAAGGCTTTGAGCAGAAAGGGGTGTTCTAAGGTATCGAAGGCTTTAAAAAAATCTAAGAATAAAATGAAACTATCGTGTAGAATCAGTGAGTTATAGTCAAGAATATCTAAGACTAAACGAATATGGTTGTGGATATTTCTCCCTTTGATAAATGCGGACTGTGTTTCATCCGTTATTTTGCTAAGCCCTTTCTTGAGTCTATTTGTGTAAACATGAGCTAAGAGTTTATAATCCCCACAAAGGAGTGTGATAGGCCTCCAGTTGTCCAAGGATAATTTATCTTTATTAGGTTTTGGTATGAGCGTGATTATCCCACGTTTCATTGTTGGCGACAGCTCTTGGCTTGTCTATTTTTTTCCAATTTAAAAAAGTAGTATGAATTCTTTTCCCCATCTTCAATCCATCTCGCCCTTGAGCGGATAAATGCACCTTCAGCTCTTTTTTTGTAAAGATCGTCCAGCTGCAGCTGATGGAGTTCTAAATTTTTCTCTTTGTTCAGAGAGGTCTGGTTACAGAGGGTACTTATTTTAGATATGATGTCCAGTTGTAGCTTTCTTCTCAGACTGGCCAAATTCTTACCTTCTTGAATGCCAATAATCCTGACATTATATTTGAACCACTCGCATTTGTTCATTGGAGATAGATGATCTAGTAACTTAACCTCACTAATCAGAGATAAGATCCTGTTATTAAAATAATCATTTTTCAACAGATTACTGTTGAATTTCCAGTGGAACAGTTTACGGTGTGGTAAGTTGTTACTAGACAAGATAGACGGAGTAATTACACAGTGGTCCGTGAGGGGAGAAGGACAGATATCGCAATCAGAGGACAAATCAGACAGGTTGCTTGATATTAACCAGAAGTCCAGTCTAGAGCACTGGGTTCGACTTGTGTTGTTACTCCATGTGTATTGTTTTTTTCTCTGGATTCAATTTACGCCAAATATCAACAAGATCGAGTGATTTAGAAAAGTCAGCTATTTGAGGGTTGAATGCGTGAGAGACAAACGGGTAGGAAATCTGTCTTGCCATTCGTCTGGGACCACATTAAAGTCACCAGCAACAATAACCTTTTCTGTAGAGTACATATTCTTCCATTCGTCAATCCTGGTACCTAAAGTATCAATAAATCTCTTATTTCTGGCTCGATTATTAAAACCATATATATTGACCAGAATATAGTTGCAAAAATTAAGTTCAATAGTGACCATGAGCCAATGTCCCTCAGTATCACCTTTACTACCATCAAATTGATTTAATAAAATTGCCACACCTGCTGAATTTGAATTACCGTGGAAGGAATATGTTGCCACAGCCCCATTGGGATTTCCAGAAATTAGTATCATTATCGATAGAATGTGTCTCTTGTAAGAAAAAACAGCCTTGCCTTACACTTTGTGCTTTTTCTTAAACCTCTAACATTTAACGATAACAAAGAGAACACCATACAGTATTGGTTGAGTGTGTTCACAAACTTATCGCAGGACAACAGTAGGAGATAACCTTCTCAAAACAGGTTAATAACCAGTCACTATTTAACCCCATTGACTGGCTGAGAAGAACAAAGTTTAAAACAACTCAACTGTCAAGACCAGAAAACACTTGTGTACCATATGTTAAGTGTACAGGATCAGTCATTTAGGTCCAAGTAGGCCAAGCTAGAAGCTACATAAAAAAATAAAAACAAAATTGCAGCTATAACAGTTACAGAGTAAAGGCCTTCCTCCAACAGCTGGCAATATAACTAAGACGATGCTGTTCTTCAGTCGACCACCCGGTGGCCGTCAATGACGGTGTAACCAACCTTTGACCCAACCTGTGCACAGTGTCCACCGTGTTCTGTAGATTTTCTGCTGGAAGGGGGACGACTTTGGTCAAGATCTTGATAACTTCTTCTCTGATGTTTTCTCCGTCTCTCTCGGGGACGCCGTTGAGTCGTAGCGACCATCTCTGTTTATATCTTGCATGCTCCAGAAACAATTCATGCAATGCTGCATTCTCCTTCTGCAACGAAGCTACCTGCTTCTTCAGGTTGTCCACATCCTCTACTATTCATTTAACAACTTGGGTATTAGCGTCTACCGACTCTCTGATTTTAACAACAGCGTCGGTATTTTCCTTAAGTTGCCACTCGAAGGCTTGGAAATGGTCACTCTGAGCGTCAAACTAGCGTTGAAGAGAACACTGTTGGCGATTTCCTCTACCTGGCCAGAAGACTTTTTAATTTTCTTCGGATTCGGGCTTTTCAGTGGCGTATGTTGGTATGTCTGGTCATGGGCCTTGAGCAAAGATCTGGGACATTTCTTCGGTTTGTTCCATCAAATCAATGTCTTCATCATCACATGCTTGCTGAAGAGCGGCTAACGAGTAGCCATGATCGTTGCTAGCTCCAGTCATAGCGATACAGTACACGCTGAAGGAGGCTTAGGAAAATTAAAAGTGGTCTAGCTTGCTGTAAATGCTATGTGCCCGAGGCCTGTGGCGTTGACTGAGGTTTTGTAAGAGTCAGTTTCCATAGCCTGCAAAAAGTCCGACCGCTCACTCCGCCATCTTTGCACGCCCCCGGAAGTTCATGATCTACCAGCAAAAAACACATCTGCGTCGAACTACCGGCTGAGACAGAGCGATGCAGCAGCAGCCGCCTACCGCCAAGCTGTTTTTGAAAAAATACACTTAGAAAAACCTGTGTAAAATGATGATTTTTCATGGTATTGGTAGGAAATTTAAACTTGGGCTAGGTAAGGCTTTATGCTGCGGTCCTACAGTGTTTTGCAGCTAATAAGTCCCAGCTGTAGTTGTCTGCATGCATTTGTTAGCAAGCATTTTCAAGCGGAAATGAAAAATGTATGTATGTATGTATAATATAATATACTTGCCCGTCAGATCCACAGACCCTGGAATGCTGAGTTCACTTAACAGATGGCAGTATTTGAATACAAATACTGCCATCTGCTGGTTCCCTAGTAAGTCACATTAAGCCTGTGGCAAAGAACCTTGGTGTTTGGTTTGATAGTAATTTAAATTTCGAGCAGCACACCACAAAGCTTGTTCAATCATGTTTTTATCAACTTAGAAATATAGCAAAAATTCGATCTATTTTAACTTTTAAGGACACCGAGGCCATTTTACACGCCTTCATCTCATCACGCCTGGATTATTGCAACAGCCTTTTCACCTGTTTAACCCAAAAATCTATTGATCGACTCCAGACTGTCCAGAACTCAGCTGCCAGGCTTTTAACCAGAACAAAGAAATATGACCACATTACTCCTATTTTAGCTTCATTACACTGGCTCCCAGTATGTTTTAGAATTGACTTTAAAATTCTATTGATCACTTTTAAAGCTCTTCATGGCCTCTCGCCTTGTTATATTTCTGACCTTTTAGTCCCATACGCACCAGCACGTACCTTGAGATCCTCGGGCAGAGGTCTGTTGTCTGTTCCAGAGTCTCGACTGAAAACTAAAGGGGACAGAGCGTTTGCTGTCAGGGCCCCGAGGCTCTGGAACAGCCTGCCCGAGGAAATCAGGTCGGCTGAGTCAGTGAACTCTTTTAAGTCCCTTCTTAAAACATACTTTTATAGGAGAGCCTTTCCCGATCTTATTTGACTTTATTTTATCCCTTTTATTTTATTCTATTTTACTAATTTTATATTTATCTGTATTTTAGTCTTTTCAATGTTTTCATGCTTTTATCTTGTATTGTTTTTGTATTATTGTCTCTTGGGTATTATTGTCTTTACACTTGTAAAAGCACTTTGTAACTTGTATTTGCAAAGTGCTCTACAAATATAGATTATTATTATTATGAAGCGGCAGTTCAGGATATTTTGATTATAATTAAAGAATATGACATTAGTTTGATGTTGCAACTTGCTTTGCAATGTCTGTGCCTTTACCATTAGGCCACACCAGCTCTGTCTACAGTGCCTACCTCAGCCCAACTCATCAATGAACGATTGTCCATGTAATGTTCATGACAGCTATTAGGCTACACATTACTAGGTTACTAATACTACAACACCGTTATATTTTAATTTGCTGTATTATATTACACTTACCTTTTATATTTTCCAGATGTTAACTGCCGCAGTTTGTCGTAGTGTCTCCTCTGCAACAAATTACCTCAGACTGACTTGACAGTTTAATAGACAGAAAGCTACAGCCCAGAGTTGACTACATATAAAAATATCCGATCGGCACGAAGATTCGCAACCGAAAGTGAAAACTTCATGTTTTTGTTTGTATGTTTTCTGTTGTAGATGCCCTGACTCAGCAAATAGGAGCAGGAGCCACTGAATTTGCCTTTGCTCAGGTAGTACAAAAGTGGCTTCGGTATGCTCCAGACCGGATGGGTGGGACTGGACGCCAAACACCAGAGCAGGAGTAAAGCTAAAAAAAATGTTTTTACATAAATAAAGTTGCTTTTCTTAACAGATGTAAATTGTCTGTTGTCATTTATATATTAGATTAAGCCTAATGTTTAGGATAGCTTATTTCATAACATTTATTATGGCTGACATATTTTTCACCTATTTTCAAGTAGTCTATTTTCTGTTTTTAATATCAGTTGAAATAACATTAAGTCACATGATTTTTAGTAGGCTATCTTTTCAACGTCGTTTCAATAGTAATATTAGTGTTGTGGTGGCAGCCCGGCCGACGCTGAGTGTCCTGGGTTTTCTCCTTTTTTGCCTGTGATTCTGTTATCCCTGGTTTGTTTTTCTGCACTCTGCCCGCCTCCCTGTGTCTCCTCCCCTGCATGTGCTCTCTCTCTCTCTCCCCCTCTGCTCCTGAGCCCAGCCAACGACCCGTACCTGCATCTCGTCAGCCACCTCCTCTGCCAGCAATCAGCCTCATCCCTGTCTGCATATCTACCCCGGTTCTCCACTCCATCGCTGCTTGATCGTCGTTGCTCCTTACCCCGTGCCACTGATCACCCAAGCTCGCGTAAAACCTGCATGATCTCTTTTTCCCTGAGTCACTAACCCTGTTTGTCTGTCTGTCTCTCTCCAGGTTCACTCACCCTCGTCCTCAGTCAAGTTGGCTGGGCTCGCTCACCTGTCCTCTCCTCTCTGACTTCACCCACGGCGTCCTCCCGGCTCTCCCTCGTGCCTCCCCAGTCAGCCTGCCACCACACTCCTCCACCAACCCCCTGATCAGTTCTCCCGTGCCTCCTCTGTTCCTCGGCCCCCGGTGTCCCTCGGCTCTCTGGTCTCAGTCTCCTCGGTTCCCCGTACCTGCGTTTCCCACGGCATCCACCTCTCCCTCAACTCCAGTCCCTCAACCCCTTCTTTCCCCTGATAAAAATTGTTAATCCCCAGAGTTGCGTTTGGGTCCACTCTGTCCCCACACCTTAACAATTGGTTGGAATACCATTGAAGTCATGTTAATTTATAGTTGTGATTTTAACATTGTTTTAATATTAAACCAGGGTGCAAAATGATGGTGAATCAATAGTAATAATGGTTGAAATAACATTGAAGTCACATTGATTTTTGGTTAGCTATGATTTCAACATTGTTTCAATATTAAAAAATGGTGCAAAATGATGATGAATGATTCAATGAACGTAGCGTTGACAGCAGAATGGTGATTCGACATAGTTTCAATAATGTTTGCGATCTGGGTCTGGTCTTGCTTTGGGAGATCTTGACTACAGCACTAGGTTCCTGGCCTTGACAGGTCAGTGCTGTTTTGGAGGTAAAATTGGAAGCATTGGCAGGTGGTCATACTGTTATACACACACACACATTAACACTCGATTAACTCAACAGCACCGATTTAGAGCATGTAAACAGCAACAGCGCTATCCAGTGTCAAGAAAGGAGCAGCGCATGTTAAAATTAATTTGAACACAGAAACAAATAAATAAAGGTGAGAAGATAAATCAAGGTACAAACATGATATATGTTTTACAAATATTACTGCTGCAACTGTTTTTGGTGAATGTTAAATTTTCATCAAAGATTTGCTCTAAAATTTCTTTAATTTGTTAATTTATATTTGTAAATGTGACATTTTTACATTTAAAAACAAATCTTTGTAACCATCCACATACAGTACAGAACATTTCTAATATCTGAACAAAATATCTGAAGGTTTGTTACTGAACAGAAACAGTTTCAGTTTTGTTTTAAAAACCTCTAAAGGAACTTTTTCATTGGATAAAATGTCTGAATAACTGATAAAGGTGAGGAGGCGCTGACAGGTGGGGCTTTTATCAATAATATAAATATATTTATATACAAAGAAGTCTGTGCTTGATGACTCTTTAGCTCCAAGATAAGATTAACTGATAACAGATTGTTCTTTATTAGACAATAACTAGACCTTAGTTCACTCCTTTTATAACAAACATTTCCAACATTATTGATCAGTTATCGAAGAACTCTGTTTAATTCTCCCTGGATGAATTCTGTCTTTAACATTTCTTTAACTTCTTGTCCATGTGGGCTTACTGAGGTCGAAAGTTTATTCTAGTATAAATCTATTTGTATAAATGTATATTTTGTTTTATTTCATTTGGTTTTGAGTGTTTCTCCCAAAAGAATTACTATTCAATGTATGTTCATGTATTTGTGGATAAAATAAAAGGATTCTGTAAATGTAGGAGCTGTGAGTGTTTCTACAACACGAGATGTTTTTGTTTTGACCTCCTCAACATGGCGCCCTGAACAAGACATGTCGGAACAGGAAGCGGGGCAGCAGCTGCGCCTGCGCAGTGGCCCACCCCGGGTCCCTGTAAAGATGTCTGAGCAGGCGGGGAGGGAGCGGAGCGGAGGACCCGAAACAAGCGGACAGAACCCGCGACTCTCCGCAACTTAACCGGTCAAGGTAAGGGCAGGCGGCCCCGCAGAACCGCTCCGACGGCACCGACAGGCGCGGGAAGGTTTCTGTGTTCAGACAGACCGGACTAGCGGCGCGCTGGGCTGCTGAGTTTGTAGCACAGAGCAGAAACTGTGTGCTGGACGCGCAGCGCTGTGGCAGGGGCGTGTCCGCCATCTTGTTTGAGAAGTGGCGCCTAAACAGCAGCTGTCGTTCCGAGCGGAGACCGAGCGGCCGCGCAAAATGGCGGTAAATGTCGGTAGCTAGAGGCAGCCCATGTTTTTAAAGCACTTTAGCCCGGTTCGGCCCAGCTGCGGACCGGTACTGAGAGCCGCTGTGCCGTGTGTTCAGCCCGGGCTCCGGAGCGGCAGCCGCAGCTTTTTGTTGTCCTCCCCCCTCTCCCCCCCCCCGTGTTTGTTTGGAGAGCCTGCCACGCGCATGCGTGTAACCATGGCGCTCGTTTCTGCGTATTAGAAAGAAAAACATCCAGAATTCATTGAGTTTGTCGCCGCAGCGCGTTAATTTAACACCACACCGATTTATCTGCGGGCAGCGACGGTTTTCACCAGGTTACAACTGTGATTCCGGTTCCGTTTGCCGCCTTCTGCTCGGCCGGACCTTCATGTTGTCACAGAGCTGTTAACTGGCCCCGCGATCCAGCTGTGACTCACCTGTACAACATCTGTCTGCTCTCACACACACACACACACACACCTGTACAACATCTGTCTGCTCTCTCTCACACACACACCTGTACAACATCTGTCTGCTCTCACACACACACACACCTGTACAACATCTGTCTGCTCTCACACACACACACACACCTGTACAACATCTGTCTGCTCTCACACACACACACACACACACACACACCTGTACAACATCTGTCTGCTCTCTCACACACACACACACACACACACACCTGTACAACATCTGTCTGCTCTCTCTCTCTCTCTCTCACACACACACACACACACCTGTACAACATCTGTCTGCTCTCTCTCACACACACACACCTGTACAACATCTGTCTGCTCTCTCACACACACACACACACCTGTACAACATCTGTCTGCTCTCTCTCACACACACACCTGTACAACATCTGTCTGCTCTCTCACACACACACACACACACACACCTGTACAACATCTGTCTGCTCTCTCACACACACACACACATGTACAACATCTGTCTGCTCTCTCACACACACACCTGTACAACATCTGTCTGCTCTCACACACACACCTGTACAACATCTGTCTGCTCTCTCTCACACACACACCTGTACAACATCTGTCTGCTCTCTCACACACACACCTGTACAACATCTGTCTGCTCTCACACACACACACACACCTGTACAACATCTGTCTGCTCTCACACACACACACACACCTGTACAACATCTGTCTGCTCTCTCACACACACACACACCTGTACAACATCTGTCTGCTCTCTCACACACACACGCACCTGTACAACATCTGTCTGCTCTCTCACACACACACACACACCTGTACAACATCTGTCTGCTCTCTCACACACACACCTGTACAACATCTGTCTGCTCTCTCACACACCTGTACAACATCTGTCTGCTCTCTCTCACACACCTGTACAACATCTGTCTGCTCTCTCACTCTCACACACCTGTACAACATCTGTCTGCTCTCTCTCACACACCTGTACAACATCTGTCTGCTCTCTCACTCTCACACACCTGTACAACATCTGTCTGCTCTCTCACACACACACCTGTACAACATCTGTCTGCTCTCTCTCACACACCTGTACAACATCTGTCTGCTCTCTCTCACACACCTGTACAACATCTGTCTGCTCTCTCACTCTCACACACCTGTACAACATCTGTCTGCTCTCTCTCACACACCTGTACAACATCTGTCTGCTCTCTCTCACTCACACACCTGTACAACATCTGTCTGCTCTCTCACACACACGCACACCTGTACAACATCTGTCTGCTCTCTCACGCACACACCTTTCTAGAGATGCAGCTAACAGTAGTTTGGTTATTGATTAATCGGTTCATATTGTTGATTGATCGTTGAAAACCACCGTACGTTTATGAAAGGGGTCAGCGGGGGGTCATTTAGAACAAGAACTGCAGCCGTCAGTTGATTCATTGATTAATCGATCAGCAGAAAACATTTTATGATTGATTTATCGTTTACTTTAGTTTTCAAGCAGAAGTGTTCAGTTTGATGTTTCTGTTGTTGAAGCCACAGCTGCAGTCTGAACGAGGGCTGCAACTAACGACTATTTTGATACTCGATTAATCTATCGATTATTGAAACGAATAGTCGACTATTCGGATTATGAATGGCAAAATGACACAACGCCTCTCATGACTGTGTCGCTACGGCCCGATGACGTCATGAACGAATCGATTATTAAATTCGTTGGCAACTAATTTAATAATCGATTTTTGTCGACTACTTCGATTAGTTGTTGCACCCCTAGTCTGAATGTCTCACACTGAGTTTGGCTGCAGTTATTGATTATTTTCATGAGATAATCAACAAATCAATGGATCTGAGAGCCTGTGAAGCCATAAAACACAAGAAATGAAACGACGTGTTT